TCGGATAAGCCGTTTCTGAGATTAGCGTGAACAGACAAACAGACAAACAGACAAAAAAAAAGTTAGTTACATTTTTGGGTTCGACATCGACATAACAATAGCCCCTGCTATTTTTTTTGTTTTTATTTTCAATGTACAGACAGCACTTTTCTACAATTTTATTATATGTATAGATAGAAGATAGATAGATTTTCATACCCTGTCATCATCCCCAAACTAGCCATTGTAGAATAAAAAATTTAGTTTTGTTACCTATACAAAATGTTGTATAGGTATAATTGTTTTTCAACATGGTATAACTATTTTAATACGTAATAACTTTATTTAACTAACATAAATCTAATGAGGATTGAATAAATTTTAACGAAATATTGAAAGCGAATTTAAATCGTGAAGTATTCACGTGTAATGAAGCGACGCGTACGTTCAGAAATAAGAGTTTATAACAGTAGATGATTTTATGGGTTTACCAACCTAAGTAAATAAAATACTATGAAAGTCTCGGATATTATTTTAGTATTTTATCTCAATAGCAAAAAAATAATTTTATTTGTTTGGTTGCAAAATTTAGACATTCCTGTTTTTATTGATTGCAATTTGACAGTTCAATAAATGACGCATCGGAGATGGGATGACGTAGTTTCTGAACGCGGAATGTCAATTCAGTTACTTGCGTGTGCATACAAGTCGTGAATTTTACAAACTAATACAATTTTTATAAAATAAATAACAGATCAAGTGACCCTAAGTGATGGCTGGGAAGCTGAATAAATTTGAAACGCCCAGCTCTGCCAGCTCCGATAGGTAAAGCGAGTGTGTTAACCTTATGAAATGTTTATTTAAACAGCTGGCCAGTGTTATAAAAAAATGCGCTGTTGAAGAATCGTTTTCAGTGTTGGCTTAGTCATCCTGCAGTCTACGAAGTGTTTTAGCGTGTCGTGTTTTTGTGCTAAACGTAACATATCATAATTCGTGGAAGCAACGTTGCATTATAACCTCTGCACGCATTGTGATATTTTTAGAAAATCATTTAGTTCATTGGCAGCTCGCTTCTCGCTGAATAATCGTGTCGTGAAAACACGTGGTCGGCACTGAACGTGCCCTAGCACGCCGTGTCGGGAATAGCAAGAGATGGAGACAGGTTCACTGATCTTCCCAAACCCGTAAGATATTCAGCCATTCGATGTTAGGACGTCTGTGTGACTAGCTGCCGGCTTCTGTCCCGTGCCGCACGCGTCGTGTGTTGTGTGTGCTGTACCTTGTTGTTATTGTGTTGCTTATCTACTGGACACTGGACAGTGACCACAGCTGCACATTGTTGTTGATAGCTAGCTCTGTAGTGGTAGCCCTCACTGCATCTCATCATAACTGTGACTGACTTCATCTTGTTTGTTGACTAATCTTGACTAAACAAAAAATATAAACATGGTGATAATGACCTTATAAGATAATATTGTGTATTACTAAACACAACATGAGATTTACATTTACACTATCAGGATTTTAGACAGATAACAATAATCAGAGATAAAATGCCTAATGTGAGTGTTTTTATCTATAATCTTACTATAGAAAACAATTTTTCCTTTAGTGTTTTGTTTTGCTAACTAATCTATTATACAACCTTGATCTAAAAAAACATTATCTGTGGCTGAGTCTCATTGTTATCTAGAGTTTGTGACCTTTCTATAAATTGAATCTTAATTATCAGTCATTGAAATACTAACTCTACAATTTGGTACTGAAACATCAATTTAACAAAATGAAAAACACAATTAATTATTTAAACAAAATTCTTACAAGAAATGAAAGTACCATTAATTCATGGCTTATCAATTTAGACTATACTATCTTAAATTTTTAAATATAAAAAAATAACTATCTACTTGAATTTTGCAACAATGTAATTAGCATATTAATTGACACACAAATTGATAATGATGTAAATATTACAATGCTCCTTAACAGAGACAGGTTATAATTAGTAACATAACATGTTATATATTACACTTATATATATAACAGTATGTTATCGTGTTTGTCGTATGAATCACCTGATTTATGGTGATTGTTATTACATTATTGTATTGTTCGGTTCTTGGACAGTAAAAGTATGTCTTTGTTACTTCACAGGTAGATGAATATTAAGATCCATTGTGTTAAAGTAACTGTTTCATGAGAAGCTATAAAATATTTTTAAATGCTGTGAATTTTTTCCTCTGGTACTTACATATAAAATTAGTCTTTAGGTATTACGTGGACGAAGCCGAACTAATGTTATCTAAAGACTGGAATAAATTCTAAGATAAAAAAAATACTTCTCAGGTTCATAAATATGTCAATAGAGTTATCTATATTGGTAAATCTGCAATTCTAATTCGTTATTGATAACTAATAAAAAGTAAAATAATCCACAAAAAGTTAAAACTAACCACATCATCCTGTGTTATGGCTCTAGTTACCACAATAAACAAATTAACAACATTGTTGGTGATAATATTTATTACATGAACTTGTAATGATAAACTTTATAACTATTCAGATGTGAATGCAGAATGTAACATTTCTAATTGGCATGAGAATAGAAACAACAACAGAGATTTCACCTTTTGAAATCTAACATTGTTTATTGCAGATTTTTAAAATACAAAGTTTGCTGATATCTATTGTATATAATTCAGAATTTTAAAAGTAGGTCATGCCATAACCAAACAAATATAACCTTGATGACAGAAAAACCTTGTCCCCATTTTAAAACTACGTTAACAGCATATTAATCAATGTGGGAGGATAATGATGAGATCAATATTAATTTTTTATCTAACTGCCTTTTACTCTGTGATTTTATAATCAAGTCAAACAGGTTGTTTATGAACAGAAAACTTATTTTAAAGACTGAATGTCGCAATTACCTGTTTGTTCAGCTTATTTACTCACTTTTATCTTATTTTCACAGAAAATCATGATGATGGATAAATCGTCATGATCTTCTCAAGTATTCTTAGAAGGTGACATTTTGATAGAAGATTACTATCTCGTATCTTCATTTTCTCAGAATTTCATTGTTTCAGGAAAATCCATTCATACCTAAATTACTTTCATGAATGGGATTTACCTTACAGCAAATTGTAGTTTCTGGAACTTGGCCAAGTATCCAGTTTTCTTTGTATTTGCTTCATTGCCAGAAATGTTAAACTTCGCAATGTTCAATTTAATTTATGCTAGCTTCTGCCAGCGGGTTCGTTCCTTTCCGTAGGATAATAAGTAGCCTATGTGTTAATCTAGACGATGACCTACTCTGTCCCAAATTTCTGAAATTTCATATCAGTCTCTTCAACTGTGTTGGTGTAATTGAGTAACAGAATTACACACAAACTTTCGCTTTTAACTTCAGAAAGATCAACCGGAACTCTGCATTAGATAAGCAAATAAGATATTTCCTTATCTACATTTTTCATAAACAAATACTGCTGAAAAAGTTACATACGTCACTCGAGGACTTTTCCTGGTAAATAGAGCTATAAAATAACCCAAGTTCCATCAGGAAAAATTTAACTTATGTCACTATTACATAAGTCCATTAAACCATGGTTTATATTCGGACACGCCTCTTGCTTATCAAAATAAATATCCTCAATTCCGACAACAGACTGGTTAGGTTCCACCATCACTGATAACTCTTATCTCACTGATATACTTTAGTTTACTCTAGTGATTATGTTTGTGTAGCCGCTGCAATTCCACGGTTTGTTATGAAAACGTAAACTGTGATTGTGTCGAGTCTACACCTCGAATATTGTTGATTAAAGAAACATTTTTCAATTTCCACTCGAATCTTTTGTAATTGTATAAACTGGTAGTCTTGGCCAGTGGTTTTAATATTTTGTATAGGGATCCTTGAAAAAAAAAAATTAATTTGCCCAAATGTGACTGAATTAAACCTTGCTTACTTACCATAATGAATATTAATATAATATTATAACTATATTATGAATTATTCATACCTAAAATAAAAAATCTAGTCAATTCTTTAATATACAGAGCTTAACCTTAACTATTAACGGGTTACCGGGGCTCCGGCTCGACGTGCAGGAGAAGGAACGGGGTGGTTTTTAGTCAGTAAGAGTCTGACACTCCCTCCTGCCTCACCTAGGCGGGAGTAGTCATTCGATGATTTCCCCCCCTTAAAAAAAAACTTGACTATTAAGAGAAATAGCAAATATAATTAATAAGAATCACTGCAAACTGGATTCTATAAAATTAGATAATTGTAAACACACACAAGCTAATCTTAAGCCCGAATACTGAAAGGCTACTACAACTTTATATTGTGAATATCATGCTATCACTGTCATTTTACAAAGAATTTGTAGAGACAGAACTATACTTAAGCGTGTTTTAAAATAAGTGGTGTTTAAGTATTTGGACAGACTCTTATTAATTAACATATCAACCTTCAATGTGACTGACCTTTCAAATAATCATTTTTCATAGATCTGCATGCAATGTTTGGAAATATCCTTAAATAATATGTATTATACCTACTACATAATAGATATTAAACTATAATACATTACACATTAACTATAATAGGAATGTCTCCTCAATAAAAATAAATATGTGCATGCATAATTCTGTGTGTAGAGTTATTAAAAAAATACTTCACAATTTCCCATTTCTTAAAACAGTCACTATTCACATTATTTGATATAAAATATGTATTATTATTTGATGTGTTGTTCCTCATTTATTGGTGCTACTAATTAACTCAGTTTACTAAGTCACGAGTATTAATTTTAACATGCATAGTTAGTTAGCTGAGAACTGTACCTTACACATTGTTTAACAATATTATCTGTAATAAGTACCTAGTTACTAATGGCACTGGCTATTTGGGCATCAAACGGTGGCACCTACGTTATATTGACACACTTGCGGTGACAAGACTAAACATTTGGTTTTATCGATTTCCTAACTAATTTTGTATCGTTATTAAAAGGCGCGTCTGTTTGTCGAAGCCTCAATAAATGGGGACATACCTATTCAAAAATGAACGCCAAATTGTGATATATTTATTGGTACTTCAAGTATAAAAGCGTTGATGTGTAAGTTAGCCCTTTTTACATCGTATCAAAATGCCAAAATTTTGCGTTATGGATGATTAGTTACTGATATCATTTTGCTAATGCAAGGACTAACAAGACTTTAATCTACACAGGCGCCATCTAGCCAGTGTAGAAATAGAAAACCAATACAAATTTCTTTATGAGACATGTCACATAGGTAATGCAGTATTATGAGAACGTATCGTGATGTTTCAGCGACACCGAACTTGCTCTGGAGCTGAACGAGCCAGTGTTCCTCGAAGATGATGACTACGCAACCAGGGCGCCAGCCTCGCCAACCACGGTACCCAACGTGAGGCCTTACAGACCTCCTTCAACAGGTGAGGTCGTCTTTAGGTTTTTTAATGATTAAGCTGATAATGGCCTCTTACGAATATTAAAAACGTACAAAAGAAGTACTTTTTACAATTTTCTGTCACAAAGTAATTATAATAAGTAACTGTTAATGACTTAGTTAGTGATACGATTTACGAGACTCATATCTAAAGTCGGTATAAAATCGAAAATGGCAGTGATATCTGTCTTTACTTTTGTAATTTTCTCCCGAAGCCTGTTGAATTCCTTAGATTAAAAATACTAATACTTGATCGTTTAACTAACACATTGATCTCTTAATTCCAGTACGACTTTATTACAAAACAATAAGGTTCGAAATCAATATCAATACATAGTATAAAACAAAGTCGCTTTCGCTGTATGTCCGTATGTATGCTTAGATCTTTAAAACTACGCAACGGATTTTGATGCGGTTTTTTTTAATAGATAGAGTGATTCTTAAGGAAGGTTTGTATGTATAATACATGCATATTGCACCCGTGCGAAGCCGGGGCGGGTCGCTAGTGTGTATATAAATGTGATAAATTGGAGTAGTTTGACCGGCTGTTCAGCACTAGTACAGCTGATTCACTAGTTCGGGTTATATTTAGATGGGTTTGTCTATGCTGTAGGACGTGGCAATAACCTATGACGGTTGTCGGCCATTCACCGGGAAAGTTCCCTGAAGGAGAATGCTCTAATATAGATTTTCCTATTGTTTACAGGTCTGTAAAAACAGAAAATCCACTTTAATATATAAATTTTACGATATCATAAAATTGCTATATCTACTAGATAGTTTGAAAATTATGCAACTGCTTTGTACTTTAACTAGAGGTAATTACTGCGTATATCCAGGTTTATGAGAAATCACTATCTTTCTTTCACCTTATCTTTACTAGACGCGATAGAATTTTGATGAAAACTTATGTTTTTTTAAACAGTAATGTAATACCAACTACCAATCAGAAGTCAATTTTATTATGGAAAAAACGAATCACATTTAAATCGCCTTCTTACACTTTCCACGTATTATACTTGTGATATTATCTCAGGTATTATGTTTTTTAAATTGTCTCACGTTTAGCAAAATATAATAATAAGAAAGTTTATAAATATAATATAACACCTGCATGCGAAACTAACCGCTGAGGTCGGGAAACACTCATTGACATGCTATATGACACGAAACTCTATCTCGATTAGTTAAAGTAGAATTTAGTTTGATTGTAATAAGTGTCAAGAAGCAGATACTGATATTCTGCCATAGGATATGAAACTTTGTCACGATTAGTTAAAGTAGAATTTCGTTTGATTGTTATGGAAGGCGTATTTTAATCCGTACTGTTGTAAGACGAGACGATAAGGTCTAGACCACACAGTAGTGCCATAGCTTACCTTCCCAGTTCTACCTAATCATGACCTAATTTTGAGTAACATAAAAATATTTCGTTACTCAAAATTAGGTCATTCGTTTTACGCCAACCCAAATGACTAGTTATAGTTTTTAAATATGACTTTTTTACCAGCTTTTATGTAGCTTGGCATTTATGGTCATGCAAACTAAACGCGTATAAAACACAATGGGTTGAAGGTATCTGCTTCAAAAATTCACAACATATATAGTATTGCCAGTTAAATAAATGCTTGTTAAAAGTGACGCAAACAACACTGTTTTAGATAAATTATTAAGTTTTCGGCTTACTCACGTAGTAATTTGACGAGGAACTCGACCTACTGTGGCCGCGTCGCGGGTCGCGAAATGCTGCTCATGAATATGAGCCTCTAGCATGGCTTGAGACTAGTCGAGTTCCTCGTCGAATTACTACGTGAGTAAGCCGAAAACATAATAATTTATTTAGTATGTCTCACGAAAGTTACAATACTGTTTTAGATTTTTAATTTTTCCTAAAGTTTGTAACACAAAATCTGTCACTGAAATATAATTCAACTGAGTGATATTACATTTACCACTTAGCGTACTTACGATAATAGATAAGTCGTGATAATGAAGTATTTCCTAACTTCCTACTCTATACAATATTCTTGTTATTGGTTGGACAATATGAGGCACGATGCACGCACTAGACGTACTATAAAATCTATAATTTTTATCCCTTTTAAGAATTTCGTTTATGAATATCAAACAGAGTAAAACAAATCATTATTTGGTAATTAGATTTTCAATTATAACATGGAGTTTTGTATATAAAGAAAGAAAAACAGTTTATTAGCTCCGTTACAAAAATAAAAACAAGAAAAATATTTAAAAAAAATAGTGCACAGGGCGCAAAAAGGCCGAGGGTCGAAGGTCGTTTTGTCTTGAGTAAAATGCTCTTCATACTGAGTTCTCTCCTGCCAATAATTGGCAAAACGTGGATGAATTAAAAAAAGTGATATTGTTACGTTGATACATTTATAAATACGTAGGCATCGCATCTTCTTTATTAAAACCTGTAAAAAAATGTAATATAAGATCCCCAATTAAATGATGTATGCCTTCAACCAATTATAATAAGCAATAATTTACCGTGGCCCCGTTTTTTGCGACGAGTATGACGACTTTGTTAACCTCCTGCATATGGTAGACCGTGGCACTCTGGTAAAACACGGCCATATTTTATGCAATGTTTGTTTATTTTTTCTGTAAAATAAATATATGCTCAAGTATCCAATGACGCCATGTCTGTAAATTTATTTATAATATGTAAGGAACAAGTTTGCATGGCATATATTTTAATAATAAATGATGTAAAAGTAGTTTAAACATGATTAAAAACGTCATGGAAAATATCTGCAGAGGTTGTAGTCTACCGCATTGTAAGGTTCACTGCGAAGTCAGCGACCTTGTGTTCAATTCCGTGACAAAGTTTTATGACTAGCAAAAATCTGTAGATGAAATTGACACTCTGAAAATTCCGGAAACGACTATAATTATAGTTTATCATCCACGAGGCTAACTGACATGACTGACAAAAATTGACTACTTCATCAACAAAACAAGTGTTAATTGTGCTGTCCAGCTTATGCCCGAACACAGAAAGGCTACTAAATTTTAATTTTACTTAAATATCGTGCCATCTCTGTCATTTTACAAAGAATTAGTAGAGACAGAACTAAGCGCTACTTCAAATTTAATGGCGTTTAAGTATTTGGACATTACTCACATAACTGTTCAACGTGGTAGCACTGGTTACCCAACTAATTTCACACCATGACAAGGACCCTACTCCATATTCATTATGTTGTCGCCTAATGCTGACTATCGGTCCCTGTCATGGTTTACTTTAAAATCTATGGAAGTTATCTATCTTCTATTTTCTATACATATAATGAAATAGTAGGAAATTGAAAACTATACATCGAGTTTTTTTAAAAGAATGCTTTGATCGTGATCTACAGTCGATACCGAAACCAACCGGGATGAACTCAAAAAGTGCTGCATGGTTTTATTTGAAATTTTGCATGAATATTACTAACAGCTCGGGTCAACATATAGGCTACATATGACGCTATCGACTACGGGGGTGGAGCTGTTAATCACTATTTCACGCGGACGAAGTCGTTGGCGCAGCTAGTGCCTAAAAAAAACAAAAAAAACTGACGTTATGTAAAAACCCCGTTAGTAATACACGCGCCGTATAATTACGGATTCGTTTCGATCGCTCGTGCACTCGTATACCTACGTAAGTATTGATTATTGGAAGTTTTCGTAAACAATCGCAATTCGCTGCGTGTTGGAGTCTGCTCGCTTCTCTCACGTGTTCGTGCACGGTGCTACACACACGTGAGATTTAGTTCCAATGCCGCCATTTTACTTGCAACTAGTCACATTTCGATAACATTATACGAGTCCAGAACTTTATCGGAGCTTATAAACTAAGTATTCTCACAATGAATGATTTTGTTCTTATTTGAGTGTTTAAATAAGGAAATACTTACACAGTATGAATGAATAGAAAGTGCTTCATTGGTCCAGTGGCCATCACTAACTAGTAGCTACCACCCACGCTCTACTGAAAAACCATGAAATATTATTCAAAATAAATAAAGCTGAAATTCCTTCATCGTTTGCCTTTAAGTAATATTTAAATTCGAATATGCATTATAAATTAAAAGTACTTAGATACTTTATCGCAATACTTGACTTTTAATTAGTCGAACAGCGTTCAATGCACAATTTATATTGTCAACAATATTAATTTAATGCGCACTGAGAGGGAATGGCATCTTAGCTGCATATAAAACATTTTCTGGTTAAGACTTAGTATGTTTCCGTAGAAAATATATTGAAATAAGAATAACATATTTTTAAAAGTCAAAGATAGACAACACTATCTTTTTATATACCTACATCTAGTGCCGAGCTACCTAATACATTAGTAGAACAACCAACTATGAAACCTATACACGGAAGGGAACCGCCTATTTATTGGAAAGAAAATTCCGTCATAGTGGTCGCGTATAGTGAGTGACGTCTACATTCCAACACAATATAGCCTAGCTTCACTGACGGACAGACTGACAGACTATTATTTATTTCATATTTGTTGACGTTTCAAAAGTACCAAACTATGGTTTAATTGAAATAAATGCTCTTGAGTTTGAGTTTGAGTTTATACAATCCAATGGACTGATTGTAAGTCCATTTATTACGCAGGATTGAAAATATATCGAAAGCTCAATCAAAAAATCAATGGGTAACTGTTCACTACTTACTAAGTATTCTATCTGCGATCAGATAAAATTATTGACTGAAATAAATATTAAGTACATAATGTCTATTTTCGTATTCAATAAGGTCCTTGTGCCTATATCACTTCCAGCCACATTGGATACCTATATAAACTTAAATACATAATAAGGAAAACTTCAGTAATCATTTTACAGTAAGATACATATATTGTGATGTGGTCTATGTAGTTTCATGTGCGTAAAATGTTAATTTGAAGTGTTAAAACTTTATTTGGTTTTATTTCACATATAGACATATATATATATAAGTATATTCTCACAGTTTCAATTCCCAAAGAGTTGATTACGCGAATAAAATCACATTTGGTACAATGTTCGCGTATAATTCGTTTTATTAGGCGACATTGACCAGCCGTAAGAAATACAAGTAACCTCATTGTGTTATTACTAAAATTAGTAGTACTTTGAATGAAGTCGGGAACGGAACTGTGTACCGCTGAGGACTTTGTGACTGTTTAAGCAACGTGGAGTTTTTAAATTTAATTAGATCATTTGGTGTTTGTTGAACATTTGTGTTTGTAGTGGATTAAGAGGTGTCTGGGTATTAAGTTCATGTTATATTAGACTGCATATATACTTGTGTGTATGTATATATATAGAGTGTAGTGAATAGTTTTCAGGTTTCCTACACGTTCGGGATATATCACATTAGTAAGTTGCTTTACTCAAGTCAATAAGTATTATATAGTAGTTGTAATTGCGTTGATTGCTTGCTGCGAATTATTACAATTTTGCATTTTCTAAATTCTATTGAATGCACAATGGAATTGTACCCATTGTGTGATATGAATAAAGTCATCACTTATTACATGGAACTCAGAGCAACTGCGAGAATAACAGAATACGTCATACAATATATCACACTCCTTCGGAAGTGTATAAAGATTAAGATTATAATGTGGAACTGAATATAATTACATAAGTACTATACTTAAAATAATTGAAACCCCACCCCGAACATTACAGAGTGTCAAATAATACTTGCTACATACACATAGTACTTTACAATTACAATATATGAAGTTTCATACATACATATATACTAAGTTCGTAACTGCCATATTTGTAAGGTAATACAATACTAAGATATCAAGTTTAAAGCTTTGAATTATGATCCACAGTGCTTTTGAGATTGTCTGAGCGTGTCCACTGTGCCTTCTACAAGTTACACATACATAGGTACTTTCGTTTAGTTTTTTCTCGTGTAAGTATTAAATATGTAAATTAAATATTAGTGTAAATATGTACTGAACTTTTTACTGGAGTGTATATAGTTTTTTGTATTGTGTAATTTATATTATATTTATGATGTATGTGAGTATAAATTAATATTAGTACATTTGTACCAATTTAGTCAGGCCTGTGCTTAAACGTAACAGACATAAATAATTTGATTGTCAGCTAGTTCAATGACTAGTGTATTAATGCGCGATTTCTTAATCCTCTCATGCCTTATGGCTCTCATAGATAATGGATATCTATAATAGTAAGCAGTCTTCATCCATTTCATAGGTAAATAAAATTAAGAAACAACCTCTATAACAAGTGGTATAAAGTGAATGTAACATAAGATTATGTTCTCTGCGGTCTACTCATTCGGGGCTTAAAATGGTACTTGATTATGAAACAAAAAATGTTCAATTCGAATTCAAACTTGTTCAGCATTTAGCACACATATATATAACTGTAATAGGGATCAATAAGATACTCAATAAATATAAATAATGCGAATTTAATGATGTTTAGTGGCCATCGAGTGCAATTTAAACACATCATAGACTACATCGAGGTCCCACGCGTTAATTTAATGAGTGGCAACACTACACGAACACTGACGTGTGTAATTGTGTATGTACTAACAATACGTTAAATGACTGTGTCGTGTCTAATGTATATGTTTGTTTGTGTTTTATTGGCATACTATGATGTGATCGTTAGATATGATAGTAAAATGAAATTATTAATTCGTTTACATTAGGGTTTTGTCAACCATACCGTGTCGAGATGGAGGTTTTGTTCGGCTGTTTCTAATTATCTCCAATTTCAAATACATATTTCTGTTCCAGGTTCAAATATACTAAAGTCCCCGCGAGCGCGTCGCGTGCGCACGACGTCAATGTCGCAGCCGAACAAGCGCACGACGGCGGAGAGCATACTGCACGCGGACCGACGCACCATATACACAGCCGGCCGCCCGCCCTGGTACAACTGTACTGGCGGACAGGAGGTCGAGCCATTCCTTATTGGTGAGTCTTGGAAATAAAGAATCTTATTTTAACTATACTAAGTAAAACGATACGGTGCTTGTATAGAACTGATTCTGTACTACATGTGTTACGGGCACTGGTATGATCTGGTTTAAAACTTTTTTGACACATTGACTACCCAATAACGCCTAACATGTTTATTTAACCACAGACAATATCTCAGTTTAATAAGGATTAAAATTAAATGATTAATTATTGCAGATATATATTAAACTGTCAAACACCAAGCGGTCACCGGTGACCGCAACCTATTGTTCTATAATTGTGTCTATAATGACGGTACTCGACGAGTTAAGAAATGCATAGTTTTGCTGTGCTCTGAGGCCTTAGTACGAGTTTCATTTACGTTTAAAGTATTCGTAACGAATACGCATTCGGCACTCTGATTGGCCGGCGCCAATGAACCAACCAATCAGAGCACCGAACGCGTACTCGTTACGATTACTTTAAACGTAAAACAAACTCATACTAAGGCCTCTGTTCTGCATTGTAAACATTTCATATTTATTATTATTATTATATACATCCTGCCGCGCAACAGATTGAGATCAGGCATGAAGCGAAACATAAAATATTTCATGCTTTTTAATGCATACCATCTTGAAAACAAAAAACATTAACAGTAAGGTTTAACAGTAAGCCGGTTGTATAATGCTTGAGGAAAATTCCAGCTATTGTTTTAAATGTTTATAAATAGACTCGAGTTAAAGAAAAATATTTCGTCATCTGCACTCAAGTGTGACTGCGAGGTTCAACGACACGTGCGTGGCTTGAATTTGTTAGTATTTTGCTAAAAAAAACTTAATAGTAGAATTTTCTCATGTGTCGTAAGATAAAAACATGTTTTACTTTACACCTTAAACTGGAACAACAATTTGTAAATAACTCAATTAAGCGAAATCACCGATAACTTGCTTATTCAGTAGCCTTAGCCTTTTCAGTCTTAAGTCCAAATAAGTACCCATACGTTTATTCCCTTTTCTATAGTTTCAACTTGGCCATTATGAGTGAGTGATTGAGAATTAGTGGTTAAAGTGCTATGGTTTTGTCCCGTCAGGTATTTGCGGCGCCAGTGCGTCGGGCAAGACGACGGTGGCCACCAAAATCATAGAATCTCTCAACATACCATGGGTCACTATCGTCAGTATGGACTCATTCTACAAAGTGAGTTTATTTTACTGACAATCATAACATAACTGGCGATACGTGGGTGTTATAGAGCATAATTTGCACCTGCATCTACGTGTTGTGTTATAAGAATATATAAAAACCCTGTCTGGATTTCACGGTACGTCTATTTTTACTTTCTGTTTGTACCGAACTTCAACTACACTCACAACTTAGATTCTGCTCCCATAAAAACTTAGACTCAGTATCCATTATAAGAACAAAGATATTTTTATCTTTTATTAAAACTTAAATATATACCGCTTTCGATCTAATACAAGAAATGTCCTGTGTAAAACTTATCTAATCTCAATTTAAATTTCAAATTTCTAATGTCCCAATAATTCAGGTGCTAAACGAGAAACAGCATCAGGCAGCTAACCGCAATGAATACAACTTTGATCACCCGGACGCGTTCGACATTGAGTTGCTGATCTCAGTACTGCAGCGGTTAAGAGAGGGCAAGAAGGTGGAAGTGCCCATCTACAACTACGTCACGCATTCCCGGGAGAATAGGACTGTGAGTATGTCTTATAATTTTTTTGGCGAAAAGTGGCGCTAGTGTCGATTATTGACATCAACACTTGAGTAGGACTTTAAATGATAATTCACTAACCTAATTTACTAATTTAACAGCAGACTTTAGTTTTCCTTTTTCTATCCTTGTCATCATCAGCTCGATTCCGTCCCATGCTGGACATAGGCTTCTCCAAAAGTATGTCACTGAGCCTTATCTTTCGCCCCTTGTATTCAACCATTTCTGGTCACTTCGCGGGTATTTTGACTCTACCGTACTAAAGAGCCTCTTACAGTTTAAACTGTCAAACACCAAGCGGTCACCGGCGACCGCAACCTATTGTTCTTTAATTGTGTCTATAATAACGGTACTCAACGAGTTAAACCAGTCTAATCTTAAACTGTTATTTGTAATTATATTTTAGTTATTATTAAATTCAAAGTCAGTTTGTATACTGAAGGCATAATTTTTAAGTCTGTAATGTCAGTTGTGCTTAATCACAGAAAACGATGTATGGTGCGAACGTGATCATCTTCGAGGGTATCCTAGCGTTCTACAACGCGGAGGTGACCAAGATGCTGGATATGAAGGTGTTCGTCGACACCGACGCGGATATACGACTCGCCAGGAGACTGCGGAGGTAAACTTCACTTAAATATTACTAGATAGACTATTTTCTGTTTTTCTGTCTGTTTGAGTACTTCTGCATAAAAGACTCGTAGCAAGCCTTAACAGCCGTTATCAGTATGTAACTATCGGTTTATTCTACACATGCAAAATATGTCAAAATTGTAACTCCCCAAATCTAAAATGACCGAAACTCTTTCTTTTATAGACAAATATTAAATTGACGAACACTTTTGAAGTAATATTTCTTATCTCTTCTATCTTTTCAGTTGATCTTCGTAAATGAGTAAAATAATATTGTATATCACAATATCTACAGTCGTATGAGTCACTGACGGTTAAACTTGCCGCAATCATTTTAATATTTTAATTTCTCATCTGAAAATTCAAGTGATATATCGTCATAATAGTGTTTTATTAAAGCACAATTACTGTCGGCCATGTTGGCAACTGGCCAGCGTTAGTCAACGTTTACGAAACTTTACAGCGGCAGGTGTCAGCAACAAAACGTTTGTTGCCTACAACCGCTATATCAACGCTTTATTGAAGTTCTGTAATTTGTATGTGAATTCTAATTTAAAACGTGTTGGTATTTTATCTTAGCTTACAGCAAACAATTGCCTACGCGTTACTGATGAAAAAATTATACGGTTTCCAAATAATTATTCCTATTAATGTCATAAAGTCTGAATTTGGTATTATCTGATTTATACCTTGAAGACAAAGAGATTAAACATTACAAAAATGTGTAATAAAGACCTATAAAAAGCTTCCAATAGCAAGCTAGTAGTAACATGTTTAACTTACCGTATACAGAGACATAGTACAACGCGGCCGTGACCTAGAAGGGGTGTTAAAACAATACATGACCCACGTGAAGCCTGCCTACCAGAGCTACATCGCGCCCTGCATGGCGCACGCAGACATCATCGTGCCGCGCGGCGGAGAGAACAAGGTCGCCATACATCTCATCGTGCAACACGTACACAAACAGTTGCAACTGGTGAGTTACTGCAACACTACTGTAGCATGCTGGGACACTATATTATAGAACAAGGTCGCCATACATCTCATCGTGCAACACGTACACAAACAGTTGCAACTGGTGAGTTGCTGCAACACTATATTATACATCTATAAGTTCCATGTGATACAGTGTTACATTATATTGTTACAGCGCGGCTTCAAAGTGCGTGAGAAGTTAGCGATCGCCCACATCGGCCAGCCCGTGCCGGACTCACTCTACGTACTTAAAGAAACTCCTCAGGTAACTAATAGACAACCACTTTTTAACAAAAACTGTTTATATCTGCTAACCAAGACAAAATGAGTGCTGATTTAAACTCAAATTGAACTAGAATTGAATAATAAAAGAAGTTTAAAAGCTAACAGACAAAAATCGACAAAGAAAACAATATAATGTCTCGACCAGTTCCACAGTTGACATTTCCTAACTATGAATGCAAATAATCACAAAGTACTGTATACCAGGTGCAAGGACTTCACACATTCATCCGCAACAAGGACACTCCGCGCGACGAGTTCATATTCTACTCCAAGCGCCTGATGCGGCTGGTGATAGAGTTCGCCCTGTCGCTGCTGCCGTACTCCGACCTGGTGGTGGACACCCCGCAGGGGTTCTCCTACAAGGGCCGCAAGTGTGACGTCGAGAAAATATGTGGAGTGTCCATCCTGAGGGCCGGGGAGACCATGGAACAAGCCGTCTGCGACATCTGCAAGGACATCCGCATCGGCAAGATACTTATACAGACCAACCAACAGACTGATGAACCAGAGGTTTGTATACTCTTTGTATATTTAAATAAGTTAAATAAATAATATGTTTGTGTGATTATTTTGTTTTAGCATTCCGAAACCGTTAATACATTTTGGTAATACTTTGACCTGTTACTATGACCTGAGTGTTTTGCGAATACATTTATTCACATCAGTTCATACATTTAATCACATTTAGTTCTCCTATTATTTTTGGTACAAATCTAAAGAGAAGCAAAGAATCAAACTCATAGCTTACAATATTAAAATAACAAGACTACATAAACGACTCGACTTTCTAAAAAAAGGTTAACGGTAAAACGGATGAATACGAATGAAGAGGTAAATTTTTTTATGGGATGAGCCGGTAATCGAGCAGACGGCTCCCCTGATGGTAAGCAATCGGCGTCGCCCATACACACCCGAAACACCAGAGGCGTTACCGGCTTTTTGGAAATTGGGAATTTGTCGATTGTTGGGGATTCGGGGATTGGGGACACTGGGAAGGGGGGTAATTGGTAATTGGGCCTCCGGCAACCTCACGCACTCGACGAAACACAACGCAAGTGTTGTTTCACGTCTTTTTTTCTAAGGTCGTGGTATCGCTCGAGTCGAACGGCCCATTCGTGCTGAAGCATGGCTGTCCCACACTTAAATATAGTCGAAAGAGGTGGGGTTTAGCAGTAAATAAATCTATCTCCAATAAACATATTAATAGCTAAACTTTTCCCCACAGCTATACTACCTCCGTCTCCCGAAGGACATAAAGGACTACCGCGTGATACTGATGGACGCCACCGTGGCCACCGGCGCCGCCGCCATCATGGCCATACGAGTGTTGTTGGACCACGACGTGCCGGAACATAACATCTCGCTCGTCTCACTACTCATGGCAGAGATCGGGGTGCACTCCATCGCATATGCTTTTCCACAGGTAACTTGAACTATCATATTTTACTAATATCGTCAGTGTTGTGAGGATTTCAGAATGAAAGTATATTTGTTATGCAACTGAACTGATCGGAATGAAATTATTACCGTCTCAAATAACAATAAACGCTTTGTATCCCATCAACACGGGTGAATTCGCTTGCTAAGCTGTTTAGTTGCGCCAGATAGGCGCGTGGCGGGATGAGCTCCGGCGCGATCTCATGGCGGAATGGCAGCAACGACTGTCCTCAGGGAAGTGATCGGCGATGGCGACCTCTCGCGTCCGGGCCTAGTGCAGGCCATGATGCGGAGCGAGGGGGACTGGGATGCCGTCTCCTCCTTTTGCGAAGCAGTCATGCTAGCTAAGGAGGAGGCGGGACGCGTGAGGCAGCGAAGCGCTGCCTCCTCGCAACCCAGCCATCGCGAAGGACACACCGGGCGTCGGGGATCGCGGGACGATCTCCGGCCACCGTAAGCGCGGGCCTGCGGACGGCGAGCATGGGTGGCTCCCCGTCCGACCAGAAACAGACCCGAGCCTCAAAGAGCCATCAGACCACCACAGATGGGGCCCAATAGGGCCGATGCCGATTCGGAGTCGCGGAGAACCTAACGGGTAACCGGGGCTCCGGCTCGACGTGCAGGAGAAGGAACGGGGTGGTTTTTAGTCAGTAAGAGTCTGACACTCCCTCCCGCCTCACCCAGGCGGGGGCAGTCATTCGATGATATTCCCCCCTTAAAAAAAAAAAAAGCTGTTTAGTTGAACATTATTGCACAATATGCTTGATTTATTACACTATTAATTTACTGATTTCTTTACAATGCATCGAATAACAAAGAAATAACATGGTTTATCGCTTCAGAAACATCTCCGTACTAACTAAATTATTCTAAATACTTAATTCAGACTTGTGACATAAAGGAACTGACAAAACCTGGCCCTATAAGATAATTATACTAATATAATTATCTTTTATCACCTCTACAGGTAAAAATAGTGACATCAGCGCTAGACCCGGAGATTAACGAGAAATTCTACGTGTTGCCCGGTATTGGTAACTTCGGGGACCGTTACTTCGGCACGGAGCCGGCTGACGATGAGTGAGGTCGTATCTTAACTTCTAACAGAGTTAATCGTCTATGAAACCACAGGTAACCAATAATTGTCCTACTAGACTTCGAAAGGAGAGCAATGTTATTTATTTTCGATTTTAAAAACATTTTGCGTTATTATATAGTAATGGCAGTTTAAGTCATACACCTTGTGATTTTTTTTTTAAATATTTGTAATGTTAAAGTTACGGCCAAACGGTATTTTGTAGCTGTGGTTGGTATAGTTATGAAATTGTGAATTCAACAATGACTTTATTTATGAGCTTTTGAATTATAATTATGGATGTACTGAAAAATAATTTTGTAGAAACAAAATATAGTCCTATTTTCGCCTTGAAAAAGGAGCATGGACTTGAACGATATTCTAATTAAAAAACATATTCTCCAAGCCCTCTTTAAGGACGATTAACATTTAAAATATAAGGGCTTGCGCGTATCCTAGCAAAATTAGTGTACAAATGTAAAGCTAAAACATTTGTATATAAAAAAATACAAAAATATGCAGAGCTGCATAGATGTGAATGCCACGGAGTAATAAACAAATAGAGTATTAGGTTGGCAAATGGAATCTATTGTCAGCTCACTCTTGATGCTCCTCTCTTAGATGGTTTGTTCTCTCCATTTGTTAACTAATCCGTGGTATGTAGTTTTAGTGATTATAGTTGTGGACTGGCCCCGTGTATTTATTTAATTATCGTAATGTTTACACAATTTAATAAGTTCGGCGCACCTTACTATGGAAGTAATAGACAAGTTTTTAGTACCTCAAGTGTATTCCCGTCCATAGATAGGGGTATAGACAAACACTGCCAATTATAGCACTTTTAATAAACATTTAGAAGCTTATAACGCACACATTTGTGCCTTTTACTATAAGAAAATTATTGTAAACTGCACAAAAATCAAACATTTTCAAGAAAATTCAATCTTATCTACAGTTATTACAGCATAAATTCACTTTTGCATAACAACTTTATAACATATATGGTTCCTGGTAACTAACTTGCCAGCTAATTGAACTTAAAGAGAATCACAAATTACCTTTATTCTCTAAAACATTGCACGATACACTAAGGTTCAAATTACCGTAACAGCATATACATTATATTCGTTTATGATATACACGGAGGAACTAAAGGCGTAACGGTTGTATTTATAATATCTAGTCTGTACTAATACTAACGTACAAGTCGCCTCGATCTCCTATCTCCAGGATCTAGCATAAATTATTATGTGGATATTAGTTACGTCAGATCACTGAAATGATACATCAATGGTATATAAAGAAATCATACAGTAAATGAATAATAATATCAGCAATAAAACTAATAATAGTTACAGTAAAATGATTGTCCAACGTATTTAATTACAGTAATAAATAATAATAAACCTAAGAATGAGTAAATAGCTTCACTTTTAATTTTTTTGTTGACGTTTAAAAGTACCATTTTGGTCTAATTGAATTAAATTTAGACTTTAAAACGGGTTCTTATGTTTAATTGAAATATTAGAACTATACATAGCATATATGATATGTATGAAGAATCCTATTGAACAGCAAAAATGCACAATCAGGCGGACCATTAACTCGTCGAGTACCGGTTTTGTAAACACAATTATAGAACAATAGGTTGCGGTCATCGGTGGCCGCTTGGTGTTTGACAGTTTAAACCTGTCTCTCATTAGTACAGGTAAAAAAAAACTGTACTACTAACTAAATTTAGCTATATCTTTCACTTCATGTACCTTCTCATTAGAATCTTAGTAAGCTCATACAAATCGTTTACCATTAATTGAAGATCATTTTAAAAATCTTTATTTAAAAGTATAATTGCACCATATCCACATTAAACGTAATAAAATATTCATTAAAAGCTTGCGTCCAGCACAGCTCACAGCTTGGCTTCGGCAAGCTAGTCACAAATATATCATGTCAGCTTCGTAGCCAAAGAGTAGTTCATAACGAACTAAAATGTATTCTAGGGAACAAATATATACTGTCGTTGTAATGTTATTTTGGGAACACACGATGATATGTGTAATACAAGTAAATAAACTAAGTTAATACTGATCCAATACTTTCTTTCAACTTGCTTAAGATAAACAAATCACTTAGAATTGGGTACTTTTCTTAATATTAATCAAAAGTAAATTATTTCTACTGTTCAATACAATAAAATATTAAAAAATAATCATACTTTCTTTAATTGATTTTAAGACCAACTTATTTTTTGTATTTTACCTGCAATAAAAAAAAATCAGTATGCTGTTTGACGCTAAAAAAAAGTATTGCATTTGACTAGTTGGCAAGTACCCAATTGATATGTTTTTAACGATAATTCTTAAACTTTAACTTACTATTTTACATACCTTATATTATATATGTAAATGTAGCTCTTGCATGGAAATTTTATTATTGGAAAATGTACTTAATATCGTAGGTAATACGTGTGTTATTGTCGTGTGCACCCAAAATGCGTTATTTAAAAACATACTTCCATAGTAACTTGCCCAATCGGCTGATAAGTAGACTGGTATACTAAATCGGTAACTAAGTTTGTTAGAAAAGGTATACCGACAGACATTAACCTTTTGAAATAATTATGATAAAGTGCAATTCAAATCCTAATAAACCTTAACAATTTTTAAATCAATTATTGATTAAAGACGGACTGAATGGATTAAAGATACATAACAGACATAGGATAGATATTGTCAAACTTTCACTATAATTTTTGCAGTGACTGCATCCATCTTTTTTACGAGACTGGACTAGTTCTTCTTCTAGTCTAGTCAAAATAAAATATGAAAAATATAGTAATTGAAATTATTGTCTCCATTTCTTCGTTATTCCTTTTCTAACAAGCCCTTATCATATTTAACGAGTACGTAAAAATCAAACGTTGCTTTTAATTCTTAATTTAAATTGTGATTGCTTATTCTTCATTGACGTTGTAAATTATTGTAATCAATTCGTCGATCTAATTATAAAATTTAAATTTATATTAAATGTATAGATTTTCATAACCTGCTTTGTACGTAAAGTTTAGGAAAAATTTTAAATAGTCTCGCACACTTTGATGTATTATTTTTGTTACTATGTTCAATTTAGTAATCAATAGTAATTATTTAGTCATCAAAGCGTTTTTATTGTAACGTTCGTAGCATAATATTATTAACTCTCATTTGTAGTATTTTAATAACGTTGATTATTAAATTGACTATAGTACACCCTACTCCAACCTGTCATGTGTCTGCAATGTATTTTCAACTTAATTACAAATTGTTAGAGTTGGAAATCGCATAAAGATCTTTGACAGGTAAGAGTAGCTCAATCTACGAGTGTCTGTTTAAATAAATTTGTTTTTGTATCTTTCAAACAATAATTTTGTTTCCTAATGAAAGAAGAGCGAAATATTTTTGTAACTATGTATTTTTGCTATGAAAATCTTTCAAGAACTTGTGTAATATAAACAAGAGACTTTGCTTTGAATTCAGGCAAGTGATGGAACCATTTTGAACCTTATGTCTACTTACATTTCCAAATGGAAGGACTACGCGATATCACAATGTCTTTACAAACGATAATCGTTTGTAGTCACATCACTAGCCAGTACAGTTTCATTCCTAAACTATATCTTTATGTTCTGCCATTTTGTTCCTTCAGTATTAGGATTTACTTGCTATTTTCCAATGAAATGTTTTATGAACCTTTTTTATATGTATATATTAGAGGAATTGGCATTTTGTTTTAAATTAGGAGACCTCGCTTTGTGAAATGAAATCGATCATGATATTATTAAGTGTAATTTTAATTATTTATTTTGACAGTATTCGTGTACTGTGCTTAGTTATAAGTTTATAGTTTGTAAGTCGAAACTTAATGAATGTGCTTAATTTTTTTTATATTGTTGGCGTCGCCATTTTTTTAGGTAATTATTTTTCTGTCTAAGATGTAGGTTGTTCTGCCTTACAGAGGAATCGGGCGCTGAACTCGATTATTATTTATACTATTTTAATGAAGTACTAAGTTATTATTAAAAGAGATAAACGGAGCAGTTACTGTACGGTTTCTGCTAAATATTTCACTCGAATTTATTCTTGCAAGTGATAATTTAATGATTTGTAACCAATTGAAATATATGACGACTTGCTTCCAAGCTTTGTGACTCTTTAGACCCCAACAACTTTATATCGCCAGCCTACAATATCTTATTTTGTGATAAAATATTAAAAAGTCAATTTCAACGTGTTAAATATGCATTTAAAACTTAAACCGGGCTTCATTTTCTAAGTTGTTGTGGGTTCAAATATTCAAAAAAAAAAAACTATATACACAATATACATGATTGCACAATCGCGTGTACAATATACTATACATAATTTGTATCTATATATAGCTACTGTATAGAACGTAAGTCGCTGTGAATATTATGAAAAAAAAATACAAAAAAAAATCCAAGAAATAATCTGAAAGTACGATGCAAAATGAAATAAAACAGATTGAAATATTTATTCATTGTTTTATTTATTATTTAATAAGTTGAGTTTTTATTAATATAACAACAGCAATTATTGATGATTCAATTAGTCGGTTGACTGCACGGTTGGCGCGGTGGCTGGACAACCGACTGCCACACAACGTGTCGCACGTTCGATTCCCGCACGGAACAACTCTTTGTATGATTTACAGTATGTTGTTCCGGGTCTGGGTGTCATCTATATGTAAACTTGTATGTTTGTAAACCCACCCACGCCACAGGAGAAAATACCAGTGAGGGGCAACGTTTTATAAAAAATCAGTCTGTAAAATCATTATCTGTTGACTCTTATTTTAACCTTTTGAGCGCCAGGGTCACAAATACGTGACAAGCGAAAACTGTCCCTGAGCGCCAACGACACAAATATGTGACAAAAACAGCGGTACATTAAAACACGAAATAAACTATTTAAACATTACTTTAATGCCTATTTATTTATATACCTGTAAAATAGAAGGTCCAAAATTTATTTATTTCCATAAAACTAATTAAATTGCATTATAAATATTGAGAAATTTTACGTTAAAAAGAAAGAAATAAACTCTGAAAAAAGAATGTCCTCACACGCCAGAGTCATAAATGCGTGACCGCTAGTGATGTAGCGCATGTTGGATAATATCATTATTTTAAATCAAAGATCGATGCGAAACTTTCCTCTGGAATATATTATTTTAGGTATAATTTGGTACTAGGATAAAGCAGCATTAATTTTATAAAACCAGTCTTAAAAATCATTCAATAAGCTACATAGTCAAAAATAAAATTTGGTTGGGTCGAATTTCGATATTCACTAATCCCAACTCGAGCGCATCCCTAACGCAACCCGAATTATCAGTACCCTGTACGCCATGGTCACGACTAGACGACAATATCGTGACGTCACAAGCGCGGCGACCAGAAATTAGTGAAGTGAATGAATAATATTTATGATTAATTTACTTGTGATATCGAGTTCAGAGTTCAGAATGCAGGTTGCATTGTAGATTTTGTATAATTTTGCTCTATTATTCAAAAGATTTATTAGTATAAGACTGATTGGTAATTGTGATAATTATATATAATCGTTAATTGTTTTAATTTGTTACTTTTTATGCCAGGTTTATAGAACTTAATATTTAAAAACATGTATACATAGTACATACTGTATAACATTTTATTAAAATTTTCTATTTTTTCATAGTTTTTATTTACCTTCTTAACCTATTTCAATCATATATTTTTAAGTACCTGTTACATTCGGAATTATAAATCTGATTTAAAAAACGTGTTTCATTTATTATAAAATAATATTGTACTAGAACATCGATAAACGAGATATTACGTTGCCACATCCTTATTTCGGAAGCGAAGTAGTTATTAAAATGGCGGGCCGTCCACGCCATGGTCACAATATGAAGACAGCAGTGTTGTACCTACAGTTATTATATTTAAATATATTGTAGTCTCATATCTGTTATTACGGTATTATACAAGTCTGTAAATAGTGTATAACTATTACTTTAATAGGAAGAAATGTAATGTTGAATTAAATTTCAATGTTATAAGGACATTATATTTCGAAATTAAAGACGAAAATGAAAATAAAATTGATTATCGATGAAGTTTTGGAATCCCTATTTTTTTCGTAGGTATTTGCGGTGAATTTGTGGCCTGGCGTTGAGGGCAAGTTCATGCGTTTTTGCTCTGGCGTTCAAAAGGTTAAGACTTGTCTTAGCCATATTTCGTTTACTTAAAAAACACCTTCAACTTACAAGTGATTTGAGACCAAAAGAAGAAATAGATGAGTTAGACTAAGAAGAAGAAAAAGAAGTATGGAAGCATATTGACCATAGACTATAATTATGTACTCACTGTAGATAGCGCCTCTGTAGAATAAGATCTTGTCATTATTCCTGTCTGATATATTAAAAAGAGTACAAAAGTGAGGTTTGGTGAAGCCTTAGTTTGCGCTATACCAGTGAGATGAAAAACAAAAGCCCTAGTTGAAGAAGTAAGAAGTGGACAGAAGATAGAAGAAGAAAAGATAAACAGAGAAATACGAAGATGCTTTAAATCAAGTCGCTATCATTGCACAAGACAACAAATCAAGTTTAAATTGTTTGTACAAGTATCCTTCTCTTATAACCTCTATGTCAAATGTCAACTATCATATATGATCGCAGGCATCCAAGTGTCTCTGGAACACCACGTCCAAGTGTTCGTACTTTGAAGATGGCACATCTCCGTGAGGTTGATTCTTTCTGCAAGGAACAAATAATTACATTTGAATCAACGTTTCTGCAATGGGCGATTGCTTCTACCTTTTTTTTTAACCCTAGCAAAATATAGTGATATATTAACTCGTCGAGTACCGGTTTTGTAGACACAATTATAGAACAATAGGTTGCGGTCAACGGTGACCGCTTGGTGTTTGACAGTTTAATTCTTTTCTTTCATCTATGATGATTCAATAAAACTTTTCTTTTACAAATTGACAAATGTTTAAATATAACTTTCGTGAGACATACTAATATAAATTAATCAATAATTACATTTCAATTGACGTTTCTACAATGAGCGATTGCTTCTTACTTTTTTTACCCTAGCAATACATAATTTTTGTCATCTATGATGATTGATGATTAAATAAAAAGGTAAAGTTTTCAGTAACAGAAACTGTGTGGAGTAATACTTACTTATAATATTCTTCACATTCCTCCATAGAGATATCGCTACTGATGATCCGAGACCCGATTCCACTATAGTACGTAGAGTAGCGTTGCTGCAACAAAATCGACAATTACCAATTACTAGTTTTTATAAACGCCTAACTTTCCATAGCTCCTTCTCATTTTCAAATAAAATTCAGATCTATATAAGTGCTAAAACTAGTTAAAACACGTTCAGCAGTTTGAACGAAAAGCATAACATATGCACTTTAGCATTAACTTGATAGACATTGACTATTATTATAGACGAATTGATTATTCACCTGTAAATGTTTGGACAATATTTGTTCAGCGATCACGGTGCAGGCCATTCTCAGTGCTTTGGCCACAGCATCGATATACTTCACGTACATCGTAGTCAGCTCGCGCAGGTCACTGTCTCGCCGAGGTACTAGTTTCAAGTTTATTCCGCCAGGTGGCGATGAACCCTAATAATTGGTAGAATTATGTTATTTATGTAGTTTGTCAATTTTTGTTATATTGTTGTATTTTTTGTTAACTTTGTATAAAATAATTATGAAACACTTTATATTTGGCGAGTAAGACTTAAAATAATTCTCTAAAATAGCTAGCTAAATAAACTACGTTTAAAAATGCCGACTGTAGTTTTCTCTTTTTTGTTGCAGGTCGGTTAATGAATATACTCAAATTTTCTTCTAAGTGTAACCAACACTTTTCTGAAAATTGCATCAAAATCGGTTCATCGGTTCATCAAGATAATCGCGCACAATAAGTGTTTTCTTAATTATAATGTGCTGGAGATATTAACGTGTTGCTGTTGTATGTGGTGAGGACTCACCTGATCCACAATACACTTCATCATCAAGGTCAGAGTTCTACTATCGTAATGGTCCCACTCGTTCGTTACTGTCACACCGCCCAGCATGTTGTATCTACAAAACACAGATTTAATGAGTGAAATACGCACTTTAGCTACTTTGATTAATGTAAGTTATGTAAATGATAACGCCTTTAGAGTCTGCCCCAGGAGAATATATCCAAGAATTTTGTTCACTTACACGTTAGCCATATACATGTGATGTCCAGGCGTTACAGACACCTTGTAATACCGATCCAAGTTATAATTCTTTAGCAAGTAGAGACAACTCGTCACATCCCACATATACGTGTGAACTAGATCTCTTTCCCGCCATTGGTGGTGTTGCCAGCCTCCGTAAAAGTTTCTGTTATGGTAGGACTTGTAATACGGCATTATTAGTAATTGGCATCTATAATTGAGTCTGTCTTTGTATTCTGCGGTGAGTTTCAGTAGTTTAGCGAATAGTTTTATTTCTCTAGCGACGTCAGTTTGGAATGGGGTATGGTAGCCCTCTCTGTACGGCCATATTAGAAAGCATTCTGCGTTCAAACGTTGTGCTGCTTCTAGACATCTCTTTATTTGTGTGGCTGCTTGGATGAATGTGGACGCATCGTTGCTTGTGAAGGCGCCTGATACGTATCTGTAACAAATCCGTTTTCGATCATTGGGTACTAAATACCTAATTTCAAAGCAATGGCAGCAAAGTCCTCTTCAGGGACCATAGTAAAACCACCAACAAATTCTTTATTACTTACCTGGGATGTGAATGCAAATCCGGAGCTATCCACAGTAGCTTTACATGGTACCTCTGCGTAAGTTCCTGTATGTACTCGGTGACGTCATCCCAATGCGTCTTATTCTCTTCCCAGCTCTCCGAGTACGGCACCAGGTCAGAGTCGAAGGCCGTCCAGTACTTGACTCCTAGCTTAGCGCAGAGGTCGAACAGAGCCTTGATGTGTCGCTTGTGATTGTCCATCGAGTCTGTGCCGTCGTCCCAAGGTCGGGAGTGTGTTGAACGACCGTGTACGTCGGAACCTGAATATGGAAATCAAAATGATTTGCTTGGCTCGTTCCCTCAGGCCAATCTTGGAATTGATACTGATTTTTTGCCTGTTTTTTGCATCTCTTTATAAAGGAATCGTATCTTTTGAGATGTTTAGTGTGCGAACTTGATTGAAATGTTACGGGCGTAGGTGATGGATATTATAGCAGCAGCGAGATTGTTTAAATTGTGTACCTGATATTCAGATACCCTACCATTGCTCCTGAAGTCAGTGAGCGACACGCTGTACTTGAGCCAGTCGTCCATGGGCCGCGAGTGCACGCGCTCCGACACGTTGTAGTACCGGTAGCTGCCACTCTCTGCTGGCGACGCCATGTTGTTGTACTCTACCTTCTCTATTCCTGGGAAAAACCGTTTTGGACTTTAGCATTCAGGTTTAGGAAATCTCTATTTCGCGTCATTCCTCACTCACATCACAGTTACATTCTTCAGATACCTAATTGTACCGTAAGTGTCTTGTTTGTGCCTTACATTCGCAGAAGATGGAAAGGTTGCAATTGATACATCATTTTTTGGTAGTAATTAAATAAGACATACCTTGAAAATAATCTACATTGTCTGTTCTCGGTTCTCGAACTTTCTGCCGCTTAGCAGTTGGCTGGTTGTATGCCGACATCTTGGACACTCCTAGACAAATAAATATCAATACATATCCAAATTTAAAATGCTCAACAGAAGCTCTTTATTGTAAGTTACAAAAAAAATCACTAAAAGAAATCAAAAGTGGTTTAACAAAATTTCTCAAGCTTTTTTGCTCTTGTTTGATAGGTAGCTCAGATTAAATCAAATTCTTCTCAAAATAAGACACATTAAACTTACCCCTTTACTAAGTCTGTTGAATAAGAGTGCTCTGATCACGGCAGACAGACAGAATAGCGACCGTGTCGGCTTGACTTATATAACGTTGTGTGAATGGAGTCACCCGGGCGTGGTGTGGCGCGGCCTTTGTGTGGTGAACAAACGGACATCTTTTGTTTGTTTATACTTAATATACTTTATATTGTAATGTTTTAATTTTACGTTACGTACCAGTATTTTTGTAACTTTATATCGTCCTTCTAAGGAATATTTGGAAGAATTTAAAACCCATTATTTATTTTCTAGTGACGCAGCGTGATGATATTATAATCTAGTTATTTATTCAACTTTTTTTTAAAAACCGATACTTTTTCTCATTATTCCGTTCATAAAGAAGATGTAGATTTTTATATGAATTACGATCTAAAGGTTGTCAATCTATGTAAAATAACTTGTGTGATAAAAACTAACAGTGATTAGTTTAAAGAAAAAACAAGGTTCACAACTCTTTTGGTGTCAAGGTAAAATGCACTAGCTGCAGCATTTGAAAAAAAGCATAATAAAATTATGAAATAAAACAAATTGTAACGTCATTAGCACTATATTTTATACTTATGTATTATAAAAATATCCAGATCAGTTTGAAAATAATAGCAACAATCAGCATTATGATAGGCAGTGGTATTGGCACTTTGCCGCCATTTTTGACAGTCTGTACCTCCGCGACACCAGAGACTACACCCTTCTTCAATGGCGCGGTTAGACCGGCCATCTTGGGTTTGTCTATGGGCTCTCCCATCATAGAGAATTTGGTCGCACTAGTAATTTTCACAGTCAACATCTTTCCCATATATTTTTCTTCTTTAGGCACTAATACTTGCTCATAGTATTCGTTGTGGGCCACGAAATAATTCTTGTCATGTGATATGTCTGTGACGAGTACTTCTTGTATCTCGCCCACTTTATGGCCATACGGTTCATATGAACGAAATAGCTCGGACAGCTTCTTCGTGCGTTTTTTTACTTCTTGTGTTGGAACCTGCATGAGATAAAGTTTGTTTAGTAATAATATCGTGGATTTTTATGGGAAGGTTTTTTTAGTTTCGTCAGTTCCATTAAGTAACATACCAATTTAAATATTCGTTTCTGCGTATATCAGCGAAGTCTGAATGCTAGTCGTCAATAAACTTACGTTAGCGGAGGATTTGCCTTTATCAGTTTTCTGTCGGCAGTCAAAGTCATAACCTACAGGAATATCACAAAAAAGGTAATACATACATGTGGCATTTCAGACCTCTCCCAAATACCGACGACGTGCATAAGTACGAGTAAGAGGAGTTATAAAACTCCTTTGGTGTTGCGGGTATCTCATAAGATAAAATATTTCATCACACTTACTTTTGTCATCTTAGCGGCGGGTGTACCAGGCCGTGCAAAGAACTGGTTGATGAACAGTGAAGGGAACCTGTACTTGTCACAGAGCTTCATCGTGTCTTCGAAGTCTTCCTCGGTCTCGCCAGGGAACCCACAGATTATATCTGTCGCTATTGTAATACCTGGCACTCTGGAACAGATGATAACTATTCAGTTATGTACAGTTTAAAATCGATCTTATTTGTTTTTTATTAGGTTTGTTTTTCAATGGTTATATTTACTTATGACGATAAAGACAGAAATCGGTTGTAAAGCCGTAGTTTTTAACTTTATTAATACATTTTTAACCTTATTCCAATAAGCTAAGGTTCAAAATCAATGAAAGACAGTCGTGTCCTAATTTTTTATTAATATCACACGTATAATATATTACTCACCTTTCTCTAAGGAAGTCGACAACCTTTTCGAAGTCAGCTCTCGTGTACTCCCGCTTCATGTCAGAGAGGACCTGGTCACTGCCTGACTGGACTGGCACGTGGAGGAACCTGGAATACGTCAATAATAGGTTAAATATATCAAGAAAATGACGTTTCTAAAAGCAATAAATACTTGGGAAAAGTGTGTCATGATAATCACTACATAGTATAAAACACGGAATATAGAATACAATGGAAGTAGCAAGTAGGCGTGGCACGCGTGCCACAGCTAAGCTGTGTACTGCTTACTCGAGACAAAATTTGAGTTCAGTCTCGTTCGAACATGGCGTCGAGTTGCTAGTCTCGTGTCAAATACATATTTCCACAACTATGCCGTTTTGTTCCGTTTTGGCGTGTAAAAATGATAGCAGCCGAAAAATCGTAAAAATGGAGGTGTTCCGTATCATCGGTAAGTACAATTTTTATTGTTTTCTTGTAGAAATCTTATTTTATTTCAATTTACAAAAACAGTCATTAAAATAATATTATTTACTAAAACGGTTAGTCAAAATCAACCTTACGCCTTCAAGATAAAGTTTATTTTGGATTTATTCCATTCAATAGAACATTCTCGCCAGTTCTACGCTACTCAAATAGTTATGTAGTCAAATCACATATTGAATTTATCGATTGATATCGATGCAAGTGTAATGTAACATTTATTTAGATTATTTTTTTATTATTATTTTAGTGGTGACCCCGACGTGATTAGAAGCAACCTTCACTTCACGGAGCAGATCAGCACCGTCATCCTTATCGCCATCCCTCTCATTTATCACATTATCCATATAAAGTTTGTAAAAATTTATGTAATAGTTGTTACTTATATTGCCTATGTGAAATAAAAAAAATGATTTTTTGAAAAAAGAAACTAATAAAAAATACGAACAAAATGGTTTTTGATTTACATGTAAATAAATACTTACCCTTTTTTGTTACGTTTAAAAAGTTATCAACGACATATTAATTTTATTATTTTAATACTGTCACACTATAGCAGTCAATATTTTTTTTCATATTATTTTTAAAACACATTTTCATATTATCGATATTATTTTTATCGAATTATCCTACATCACTATCTGAGTAGAGACCCGCATTCGAGCCAGTGATAAGCCATTCAAATATCACCTTTATTCTTACAACGTTAAAGTTCAAACCAAGTACCACTTTTCGTCGCTAGATGGCATTGTTAAACGCCATCTAGCGACGAATGGCGGTACTTGGTAGTCCAAAACATACTTTTTTATTTTGATTTATAGTACATTGGTTTTAAAGTTGCATATCGTATGATATTTTTTTTGCATTTCGTTTACGCCCATTTTTTTTCTAACCAATCGTAATTTCCGATTTATAGTATGAGTAAATTATAAATGTATTAGTTTGGCGACACCGGTTCTGGCAGAAATATGGTTTCAAGCTACTTCCATTGTATTCTATATTCCGTGGTATAAAACAAAGTCGCTATCCGCCGTCTGTCTGTCCCTATGTATGCTTAGATCTTTAAAACTACGCAACGGATTTTGATACGGTTTTTTTTATTTGATAGAGTGATTCTTATGGAAGGTTTATATGTATAATACATGCATATTGCACAAGTGCGAAGCCGGGGCGGGTCGCTAGTATAATTCTATAATTCTAAACTAACACTAAGGTATAATCTGTACATGTCACTTGTTTTAGCGTGTGAAATAAAGTTTTTTTTTCCTTTTCATTCAGTTGCAATTGCAAACATTACATACGCGTATTATTTTCCGAGGGATAGAATAATGGTTCTATTCTGTCCGTCGGAAGTTAAAGTTTCGGTTTTTAAAAGTTACATGTAAAAAAATGTCGAGACTACTCGACACAAGAATCGACACAGAAGCCCCTTACTTAGCAGGCACTTATGGTCAGTTGGGCATCGCGGAGAACCTAACGGGTGATCGGGGCTCCGGCTCGACGTGCAAGAGAAGGAACGGGGTGGTTTCTAGTCAGTAAGAGTCTGACACTCCCTCCCGCCTCACCTAGACGGGAGCAGTCATTCGATGATTTTCTCCCCTTAAAAAAAGAAAACATGATCAGTTGGACAACACACCCCACTTACTTGTAAACTCTAGGATGGTGCATGATCTTGGCGACTTCGGCGAGGTGTTCCAGTATGTAGGGCGGATTGGTCATACCCAGCCTCAGGCGACACCCCTCGGGGATCACTTCCACCAGCTTCCATAGCAACTCGGGTAGAGATGTGCCGATATCGCGGCCATATGTGCCTAGAACATTAATAAGTAAATAGTACTTAAGACTGCCTAGTTGGCCTAGTGGTCGCAAGTGCGACTGCCAGGCAAGGAATCTCGGGTTCGATTCCAGGGTCGGGCACAGTATTACTGGTTTTTAAAAAAAATCGCATTGGTAGCACGGAGTATGGAATTGTACCCGGTATATGGCAATAGGCTCACCCCCACCCCCTATTACATGGGACACATACCATAAAATAGTGAAAAGTGTATGTTACATGGTACAGAGGCATAAGTGCCGTAATGTGCACCTCTGCCTACCTATCATAAATCTTCACGAGTCTAACAGGAAATTGTCTCAACTACTTTCTACTCACCAGTATCCTCGCTTGTCAGCCATATCTCACAGACTCCTTCAGTAAACGACTGTCTGGCTCTCTCCACAATTTCCTCAGGAGGGTAGCTGCCGAGCTCTCCTCTTGCATGCTTAGTCTTACAATATGTGCACTGGTTTAAACACCCTGTGTTTATAGGGATGATCTCTATCAACGGATTCTTGCGCACTTTTGGAAGAAGGAGGGAGGCACCTCCTGCTTTTCTACCCTCACCAGTCTTTTTCTGACCAAAGAGACGGACTGTGTGGCCTGAAATACAGTTGACATAAAAATTATTCTTGACTAATAGTTCTGAAGAAAACATCATTGTATAATTAACATTAAACTATCCCTTACTATAAGATTCAGTGGTGGTTGGTCTTTGAACTCAAAGCTAATATAGTTATCTACCAATGGTATTAAGTCTACCTAATGTGCAATCATGTGCATGAAAATTTTAAAATAATTATTAGTTAGAAGAAACTACCAATCTAGCATCAAAACCAAGGCACATAAATCCTTTTCTGTAGGCAGTATCATCTCAACAAATTGTTTTAACTCGTCGAGTACCGGTTTTGTAGACACAATTATAGAACAATAGGTTGCGGTCACCGGTGACCGCTTGGTGTTTGACAGTTTAATATGCAACAAAATGCGTTGAATAACTCTTGATAGACATACCTTTAAGTGTTTCCTCTACAATTTCAACAATCCTGTCAATCTGCTGCACTCCGACCACGCTGAGCCCGGTCAGGTAGTTAGCTCGGGGAGCTCCCTGCGGCACACACCCAGCCACTACCACATGTATACCTCTGCTCTGGCCCAGCTCTATCTCATTTCTAGAATAAATATTTATGTAATTGATAAATAGGTAAAATAATGTTATTATTTACAAAGACAAAGTAGGCATACAATAAGTTATTTTAAATGTTATTTAAAATCTAGGTACATCTATGTCTAAAACATTTTATCCTTAACTCACATAATAATAGCACTAGGCTCTCATACCACACAACAATATTTTAAAACTAATGAAGTATACATATTTTATCTGTCTACTCTAAGAATTGGAATTCAATATGTGCCCCACCACCAATCCCCTGAAGAACCTGTAACTTCTTTACCATGCGATACTAACTTGAAATGATCTTCAGAAGGGCTCTTAACAGTGCAGGAGTTGAGCAGCCACAGCTGTGCAGCAAACTTGTCTTCAGTCAACTTGTACCCATTGGCGGCCAACAAGCCGGCCATGTATTCCGAGTCTGAGTTGTTGTGGGCACATCCCCATGTTTTTACGTAGATAGTCTGGGTACCTAGAAAATTAGTTAATCAATTTAAGAGACACATAATAACATCAACCTGATTGAAAGCCTAATTTCATTTTATGGGTAAATAGTTTGAATAAATTTAGCCTCATTTGATAAGTAACAGCTATACACACAATATTCAATAGATATTTAAACAGTTGCATGAATAACACGTACGGAATGTAGTAAAATAAACAATTTTTGAGGTTATACCTGGTACGACACTCTCCAAAATAACCTTTTCAGCGGGCTCAGAATCATTCTTGTTGTCACGTTTTCTTGATCGGACGTTCACACTTTTCCTGCTAGCGTATCTTTCTTTCGGTGTAATGTCCTGCGAAGATATTAAATCTTCTATATCGTCAATAATTTCATCACATACACCTGGCATATTGGAGATTTGTTTTGACAGTAAATAAATTGACGTTATAAACGTCACTTCAAAGGTAATTTTGCCACAGACTACATATCGTGTACGTTTCATTACATCGAAGTCGTAGTAGAAAGCTTGTACTTGTTTCATAAACCAAAACTACAACAAATACTTGTATATGCTGTGAAATTAATGCCGCTTGTCTTTCAGTCACTTCTAACTTTTTTGAACTGTTAAAAATTGCATTGACATTGTCAGTACAAAAATATTAGAATAAACCATTTCTAAAAAAACTGCCAGTATCGAATCTTAATATTCTACATAACATACATAACATAACATCACGCCTTTTATCTCCGAAGGGGTAGGCAGAGGTCCACATTATGCCACTGTACAATGTAACACCCACTTATCACTATAAATGTTATGGGTCCCATGTAATAGGGGGTGAGCCTATTGCCATATACCGGGCACAATTCCAGACTCCGTGCTACTACTGAGATTTTTTATAACCTAGTAATACGAGACCCCTTGCCCAGCAGTCACACTTGCGACCACTCGGCCAACGAGGCAGATAAGCCAAACACCGAGCGGTCACCGGTGACCGCAACCTATTGTTCTTAATGACGGTACTCAACAAGATAATATTCTCTGGGTTCTTAAAACAATCATCGTACGTTACAGGTGGTGACATCGTGGTGCAGGTGTATGATAAAATAAATGTGAATCGAAGCGGAGAATGACACCATGGAGACCGGACCATGTCAAGTGTCCAAGTGTACTTACGTGTATAGGTACCTACACTAAACATAGGTAGCATCTCACCTTTCACAAATCAGTAAACAGGACAAACAACAAAAAAGTAACAAGTTTAGTAAACGTTTATGTAAGTAGGTAGGAACACAATTATTTGCATAGGCTTTTCGTACTGCAAATTGGCACTTCTGCCTATCCTTTTTGGGTGAATACAAGAGTGATGTCTTTTATTTTGTCAGTTGATTTATGTGTCTATAAACACACTTTTTTTTTAAAGGGGGAAAAATCATCGAGTTACTGCTCCCGCCTGGGTGAGGCGGAAGCGCGGAAGAGAGCGTCAGACTCTTACTGACTAAAAACCACCCCGTTCCTTCTCCTGCACGTCGAGCCGGAGTCCCGTTTACACACTTAGGTGTCTATTATTTGTTACTGTATAATTAACAAAACAGTAAAGACTAAAGTTATTGTAGTTATGTTATTGCTATAATATTGTAAACAGGCGTTTTATGTTTAGGGATTGAATCTCAACTAAATGTAGCCACAATAAGTAATTTAAAATTAATGAAGACTGCACTGGCTAAGTGACTGTCGTCCAAGTGACTGCTGCTCGATGCTTCAATGGCTGAAATCCTATATGGAGCAATTATCTGTAGGTAGGTAATCCACAAAATATATATTTTCTTTTTGTGTGGTCCAGATTTTGGTATGAAAATAATAAAAACATTATAGGTACTAAAAACATAATTATCATACCTACCTACAATGGAACAAGTTATCCACACTTGTTTATTACGGATCTAGTGTTTATGAGCACATTCATTAGCTTTGCCAAAATGTTAACTACTTATAGTGTGAGAATACCACAATAATAAAGTCGTGTTTGAACAATAATACCTCATTAATCACTGCTACTAATTGATGTTTATACATTATTAAACTTGAATAACTTGCCAAAAATAGGTAGGGCAGTACTTATTGAGATCTTATAAAAATCTAATTTCAATGAAACCTCAATAAAAATCTACACTTCCGATTAATAATAGCACATTATTATAGCCATGTTAACATTAAATAGAGTCGTTATTAGCGATTATAGTTCTTATTGCAATCCGATACGGGTTAAAATCAGTTGTAATATATGCGTATGTAAGCATTACAATAGTGACAATAGGTCGTAGACGCAGCAGCTGCCGTCGTAATGGCGGTAACTGAGGTACCTGGCGGATTTGGCGCCATTTGTCAGGCAACCGCATTTAACTCCTCATAATAATTTAAATAGCTGTGATGATTGTGATCATTTGCAAATAATATAAAGCAGTATTTAGTAAGTACTTAATTACATACTTTCTTTTCTATTCTCGCATTCAAATTACTGAGATTCTGCATAAATCTTCTGTAACTACGTTCACTGTAACGTTTTCGCGGTGATTTATTTTTATAACGCACATGCAACTAGCATGGACTGCCTATAAAGATAATAATATAATTACTTTTGCATTTTATTGCTGTTTTAATGTGCTGATTAGATCATGGTTACGGTGTATGAATATGAATGTATCGCTAACAAAAAAGATATAAACCGTTAAGAGGAAATTTTACAATCTCTTGGTTGTTTTAGATATTAATTTGCATTTTTAGTAATTATTTTGTATGAATTAAGAATTTATGGAACCCCTTTCGAAGTTTGGTGCAGCGAAGCGGATAAAAAAAGTTCACCTTTCTCTGTGGTAGCGCGCGGAGCTCGCGAGTCGCGCCTGGCAGAAGCGCGCGCGCGGCCGTGGCGGCAAGTAGCTTGTGTATCGTGTGACAGCTGCGCGGTGTGTACAAATATTGTGTGAAACTGATCGTGTTTGTGTGGACTATTGTTTGTGGGACATCGAAATAATTTTATATCTGATAGGTAAGTGTTACACGTAATTATTATACTTAGGTACTAATTTATATTGGAGTGATTTAAAAATCATCTCCTTGTTAAATTAAAGTAAAACATTCGCTAAGTTTTGAAATTCGTATTAAATAGTGTTTATTTGACAGTTAAGAATAAATATGAAGTTTTCAACAAAAATACAATATCAATTATCATTTTTATGGTAAACTAAGTACTTAGCGAATTTATAATTTAAAATTAAAACAATTGCTAAGTTTTTCAAATGTAAATTCTCTCTCAATGGATGTAAACAAAAACATTTAAGTAAGAAATACGTAAGTGGTGTAAGAATAAGAGGGTAGTTTTACAAAAACGCTTTTACGTTTCATTTTACATAATAATAATTGGTTAGAATTACATTCCAAACTTCTTCGTCAAATCCTACTTGGAACACTTCATTTGGGTAGGTTGGTGTCATTATTACGACTGGTTTATGTATAAACCTTTATTAGTTTCGTCACTTAAGTAGGTACCTACATACATAACTTCACGCTTGTCTACCATGGGGGTAGGCAGAGACTATAGAACGCCAATTGCTACGATTCTTACATAGTTATGTACTTATTTCGCTTCATTAGCAGTCATCAATCTTTTCATGCATGCTCGTCGGTTAAAGGTACTTTTAATTTGGCCCGTCTTTAATAAATCGCCAATCTTGTCATAGTAGGTATCTATTGACTTAATTATGAAAGCTTAATATTCGACCCGATACGAAAATTTCATCCATACGAAATCTAAATATATTTTGATTACAAATGCAAATGTAAGTAGTAGAAGCTCAGAAAATTGTCATTGCGATTTACAAATATTCTAGAATCAAACCCGTGATAAACCAATTTGCGAGACCGACCACCGCACTGAACTTAAATTGCAGCATTTATTTTAAATTGCAATCTTTACTTCTCACACATAGAATCAAGTATAAAAAAACAAAAACCTCAGTAGTCATTATGTAGCTACTTATTTAACTAAACATCAGTGTTAATGCCCTTTTAAACGCACACAAACATACATTAACTTAGTTTATAATCTATGCATCTGACTTTTTAAGCGCGCCTAGATGCTAGCACATCAAACTACGTATCCAAAACCTGTTACTAGATTTTCAACTTAATTACAAAAGTATAAGACTGAATGTCTATTTACTTAGTATTAGTAGGTAATCCAGGAATGTGAGTATCCTTCATACGGCCTCCTTCCAAATTCGAAAATCGTTCGAATTTTAAAACATCTGCCGAAAGAAAATTAAATGTCAATAAAAATGCAATAAATGACAATGCTAATGGAAATCCGTTGAATTGATGACGTACTTAGGGTAGGGCTGCCACGCATTCCAAGTTCCAAGTATTTATTCATTATTGTTTATTTTTTATATCAAGTGCATTGCGTGAACCACTTCGCTATACTTAAGATTTGGTTTTAAAGTGTGTTTAGATAAGACTTTGTAGAAGCAACTTAGTAATTGCACAATATGTAAGTATTTAACGTAAACAGTTAGTCATTATTGTTGTTTAATATTATTATGAGTGGTTCGTCCCAATGTCAGATCAGCCAATCCTGCTTCAAGGATTAATTAAACGAGAGTTTCACGAAGAGTGTTGTTAAAATGGTATCGTTGTAAAACTCGGCCTGACCTAACATTACACATGCCTGGCAAGGCACTCGACTAAACAAACTATTTATTCTATTTCTAACTATTGGTGCGCACCACTAAGTCTCGATCATTTAAATTAATGTTTTATTTACGTCTACATTTTTCTCGAGTAAAGTTATCGTGTTTTGAAGGTCGTTACGGACTCCTGGAGTTGGGAGTGGGGCGGGAGGCGCGTACGACCCTACTGAATGCGTAGCGCGTGTCTTGCGCACGTGTGGTGTCCACCTGTCGAAGGGCACAATACCTTTAGGTCGGTATTAAAACAAAAAAAAGGTCAAAAAAGGGACTTAAAACCTTTTTCTCGACATTTACCGAAAAAACGATAATGTTTTTTTTTCTTTTTTTACGCCATAATGAGGCAACGGAATGAAATTAACCGCTGGTGTTTACTCTTACATTAAATTTTGCTCATTGCTCATCGTATTTACGTGTTAGCTCCAACAAGGTAAATATTTAAGCACATTTATAAAAATCCCTCATTGCAAACAAATTACTTAGTTGTTTCAACAGAATCATAAATCAACATGAGTTTAAATATGTAAGGAACTAAAGTAGCTGCTGGTGACTGAAGAAGCACTTCTAAATTATAACTGATTATTCTTCTTATTGTCTTTCGTATTAATCTAGTTCAATATATACTAGTCAAAACAAAATAAGGGCCACCACGTTTTTATAGTTTCCTCATGAAATTTTGAGGTTTAAGGGTTAATTAATGATTAGATTTGATAAATTAACTGTTTTTTATTATTAACAGCACAAAATGATGAAAGCCACATTCCAAAAAAATAAAATACCATTTTTTCTGAAAAACTAACATTTTTGCAAGCAAAACGTATGAAATAAAATTAAATGAAAAAAGAAAAACAAATCAGATATTGGTTGAATTGTAACTCCTCAATATTTAGTATGCCCTCCTCGTTTTCTAATGCACTCTTGAAGCCTGGATGGTACACTCTCCACCAAGTGTACCACTGTTTCTTGAGGAATTTGTTCCCAGCTTGATTTTAAAATGTTTATTAGCTGTCTTTCATTGTGCACGGGTTGGTTTGTGCTTCGAACGTTGCGTTTGAGTAAATCCCACATGTGTTCAATGGGATTGAGATCCGGACTGTTTGCAGGCCAGGGCAACACCTGTATACCAGCCTCCTCTATAGCTTCTCTAGTGGCCCTAGCTGTATGAGCGCGAGCATTATCGTGCATCAGACGGAATCTTGCGCCGATTCTTTGTGCATATGGGACCACATGAGGTCTTATGACCTCCTCGATGTAACGTTGAGCTGTAATTGTGCCTTCGTTGAGAATTATCAACTCAGTTCTACCTGATGTAGAGATTCCTCCCCACACCATAACGTTAGGGCCCCCAAATCTGTCACTTTCATGGATACAAGCATCCGAAAATCGCTCACCTTCACGCCTCCAGACCCTGATGCGACGGTCATCACTAAAAAATTTTACTTTGCACTCATCCGTAAACAATACTGTGCTCCATTCACTCATATCCCATGCCAGATGCTGCCTTGCGAACGATAATCGGTTTGCACGATGAGCACTTGTCAATGGTATCCGCACTACACGTCTCCTAGAGAACTGCTGGTCCTCGTGTAACCGATTTCTAATGGTTTGATCACTAACACGTGTACCCGTAGCCTGTCGCAAACGGTTTTGTAAGGAACGGGCTGTGATGCAGCGTTCTCTGCGCGCAGTCAAACGTATGTAGCGGTCTTCCTGTGCGGTAGTTGCTCGATTTCTGCCAGATCCCCGTCTCCTGGTTAGTCTCCCAGTCTCTTGAAATCGATTCCAAGCATTCTGAATTGCTCGCCGAGAAAACCCCAGCTGCATCGCAACAGAACGCTGCGAATGGCCTTCTTGAAGTAATGTTACGGCCCTAGTTACGGTTGGTAAGTCCATATGTCGTCGGATTCTCGGCATATCTTTGTTAAAGAAATAACTCAGCCAGAAGTAAAACAAAACTAAACTGTTCTTGACAGAATCGTCAGTTTGACTGACTTAAAATCCATCTTAAAATCGGGTAAAATCAAGTGGGTACAATAAATTATCAAAAACTGCCCACTTCACAGAGTTATGCCTGTAGAACACTTAAATAAATGTTTGTAAACAAATAAGGTAACGCTGTAATAACCATTCAGCTACTTGAGTACGAAGAAAAAATAAATTATCGCTGCCGCTGTTAAAAATAACAAGTGGCCCTTATTTTGTTTTGACTAGTATATATTAAACTGGTAAGAAATCAAGAAAAATCTCAATGTTATGAAAATCTCCTTATTAGCCTCTATTTCTGTGCCGAACTTCATCAAAATTGGTTCGGTGATTTAGGTGACAAACTCACGAAAGCACTAAAATATAAGTATAACGTTAGGATATCTTTGTCAAAAAATGGTCGTAAATATCAAAATCATTATCTTTATCTAGGTAATCCAGATCGAGTACAATAAAGGAAAATGATTAATTAATTTATCAATTTCTGCGCACGTTTGCACACCGCGTCATAATATTTGCGGACCACAAACTCTACGTGATAGGAACGGATTGATACCTATTTGATTGAGAATGCAGAATGTAATTATTTAACTAATACATTGGTCGACGGTCGATGACGGTCGTCGCTTCTAAATTCCCTACAAAATCTTCTCTTGCTATTAGAATGTGAAACTCCAAATGGTGGAGTCCACCAACGAATCTACGATTAATCCAGACTTAATGTTCGACCTATGTTAATGGGGGCTATGGTTTTTTTGCTCAACCTTTTTCCTAATGCGAACCTCTCGTCTTTTCGTCCGATTTTCATCTAATAGGGAATTGGCTAGTATTACACCATTAGTCATTTTATTTTCGATAGCTACAGGGATTGGACTAACTGACATCTTGCTAAATTAGCACCGTCTAGTGTTGGGAAAAACAATAGCCCCCATTAGACATACCACAGACGTACATCCGCATAATAACAATAACAATCATTCAAGTCCTCTATTAAACCTCTTAGAGAATGTTAAAAGAAATTCCTTGTCCTTTCACCACTTAGTTATAAGAAATTATACTTATAACAAAGTGACGTCCAACAAAAACAATATATTTTCTATTTATAGTAAACTGGAGTAGTCGATAGTCGATAATGACGTCACGGTCGACACTTGAAAACCACGTTACCGCCAGTCCTCAGTTGTTATGCAAAGCAAGTGATTGAGACAAACAGACAGCTTTATCATTATATAATAATACATTTATGTATAATAATTGAATGTTATCATTGTTTTGCTATTGTTTATTGAAGCTACAATAAAGTAGTCGCAATCAGGACACT